ACGCGGCAGTCCCGATCGTGTCTGCGGCCCACGCAGGCTCCACTGCGAGACGGACGTCCGTCTTTTCGAATTTAAACAAAGAGACACATCGATCGAGAAGTAATCTAAACCGTCAGCAGGCCGAGTCGTCGAGCGCCGGGCGCTGCTCGCCGCGCGCCGTGGGCGGGGCGTCGTGTGGGTCCGGTCCCTCAGGAGGGTCCCGCGGGCGCTTCATACCCACGCCATCCAGCCCTCGTACATCAGGCACAGGTTCTCTGCGCTGGTCGCTTCCGATATTATGTACTCCACCTGCCGAATACGAACGAATGTTAATCGACCAATTTTGAAACTATTTGTAGTTGGGAATTATCACCGCTGCGCCTTCTATAGATCCTGATTGAACCCAATGAACCCAATGTAGGAGCTCACTTAGTGAGGTCAAATGGCGGATAGACGCGTTCTAGACTCATAAAGTCCCATTATTAAGTTATTGGTGGGAAAGCCTTGCCAAAAAGGGCAGGGAGAGTGCCACATAACCTATTGGCTGCCCCTGCGGTTGGTAGGTATGCAATTATTTTAATTACTGGGGCGTGATCTGTTAAAGTTACGTTACAAAGTAAAGTAAAGGCCAAGTAAGTCCACGTGTTGCTATCTGGTCTCTGAGCACGTAGAATTTTGTCCAATGACCCGAAGCTACCCATCCTTATCGCTCGCGCGTAATTATGTTGCTGTCGCGCTTGCACATTCACTGCGGGCGCCCGTGGCATAGTCGCGACAGCAATATAATTACGCGCGAGCGATAAAGATGGGTAGCTTGGGGTCATTGGACAAAATTCTACGTGCTCACAGACCGGGCTTCAGCTAAAGTTACCTGTTCCTGCGGCATGGCGCGGCGCGCCGCATCGCGCTCGCGGCCCTCCAGCTTCAGGCGCACGCGGCGCCACACGCCCGCGCCCGTCGCGCTGCGGCCCCCCGCCGGGCCCGCGGGCCCTCCGGGCCCACTGGTACTGGCCGAGGGCCACGCCGCTGTAGATGATCCTGAGGGATAGATAATAATAGTAAACGAACTAAAGTCGCTGACATAGCCCGACGGATTAGCAAGCTGAAGTGGCAATGGGCAGGGCACATAGTGCGCAGAACTGACGGCCGATGGGGCAGCAAGGTTCTGGAATCTTTATTTATTCACACAAAAATCGAACAGAGTAGGGATGTTTCCTGGGTAAAAAAAACAAGTTTTAATTAGTCCGTCAGTTAGCTTAACAAAAACTACTTAACACCTATTTTTCACTTTTTAAAAATAATGAAAATGTAAAGAGATAAAGCGTGCCAAAGTTCTAAAGGCCCGTGACGCGCGGAACTTCAATGCACTATAACTTTGTAATTATTTGTTTGATTGACAATTAATAATATAATTGTGTCCAATATTTTTTTATATTAAAATTGACGGACTAAAACAATATTTTTAGGAAACTAGCCTATTACATACCTTGTGTGAGTCTGATGCCTATGCTAGATATTTAGTATACCTGTATTACAGGTCATCAGGCTCCCACCACCACAGGTCACTAAGTATCTTCTATGTGCCATACAATCAGTTTTAAAGCAAAAGATAGATAGATGAAACGTTTATTTGAAACACAGAAACACACATTACAAACAGAAAGTACCAAAAGTAGGCTAAAATAGTACCCACAGGAGAATATGACAAAAAGAGAGACAGTTCAGATTTGTCTTTTAAATACAACAACGAACTGACATATTTAATCCTACATACATACAGGATGTCCCAAAATTAGCTTGTCACACTGACATCAAGTGGATGGACTTAAGGCTTGATTTCCTCTTAGGCCGAAATGCCGAATAAGAAATTGGCCGGTAAGTTCTAAGAAGATTCGCGCTGCAACGCTGTCGTCAGCGGCAGATCGTCAGTCAGCGACATCAGCTTAAGAGGAAATTAAGCCTAATAACAGGCTTAATATGTCTATAGACATAAGTTACATTTTGCATTACAAAAGAATAAAAGCAAGATGTGTTAACAATAAGAGTAAAAAAAAGCAAGAGCCCCACCGGTCCCACATAAACCAGGCATAGCCTGTATCTTGGGGCTTATTCCACTATTCCCCGTTGACAATCCTTATCCCTATTAGCGGGATATTAGTTCCCAATGGAAACTTATAAAATCAAAATAAAAACTTAATATAACGGGGATTAATGAATTTTTTGTTCACTAATTGTGAACTAATTGTCACGGGGAATAGTGGAATAAGTCTTTCTTGGTGGCCCAGAAATATAATAGGGTATAAGGAGGTTTTTACTTTCTACTAGTCCTTCAAGTGAAGATGTACTGACCGTGTGCGTGGTGCGCAAGCGCCGGTTGTCGCGTGAGGCGCCGCGCGCCGCTGTCCCACGCGTGGTGCAGGCTGCGACAACAAAATCATATTAGTATCACATAAATAATAAATTTAAAAAATTAAGCCCCCCCATTCCAAGAGGAAGGGGGTAGGCCCACATATGGGGGCCTTTTTGGCGATAAAATTGACATAACATCGCCTTAAATTATCGCTAGCCCTATCCCAAACCATAATATTTAGATATTACATTGATAAAATTACTTAGCTTAAGATTTCCACTTAATGACGCCGACATAAACACCCAACCACGTACTGGGGGCTGGTAGTGTGGTTGGGTACTACACGCTACTGGACGCAGGTAGTGTGGTTAGGTGCTTATTTCGTCACTAAGCGCAAATCTTAAGCTAAGTAATTTTATCTACATATTTTAATATCGAACATAGGAGGAGTTGGAAGATTTCAGTGATAGTAAATCAATCACCTACGGTGTACCCCAGGGCAGCGTCTTGGGGCCAACCTTGTTCCTCATTTATATTAATGTTCTTTGCCAAGTAAGTCTGCCTGGCGCAGCGTGGGTCGTCCACCCACAAGGTGGACCGACGACATCGTAAAGGTAGCAGGGAAGTGCTGGACGCAGGCCGCTACCAATCGATCAACGTGGAATGCATTGAGGCCTATGTTCAGCAGTGGCAGTCCTATGGCTGAAATGATGATGATGATGATGAAGCCTGCCCAAGGTACAACAGTAAGGTGTAAGGTACTCACTCCAGCAGCATGTCGGTCAAAGCCGGCATGTCGGCGGCAAGTTGCACGGCGGCGTGCGCGGCGGCGGCGGCGCGGGCGCGCTCCCCACCCGCCGGCTCGGGCTCCGCCCCCTCGGAGGCTTCGCCCGCCGCCTGTAGCGCGCCCACTAGGTTTTCAGCTGCGCGCTCCGCCGCCAAATATGTTGTGGCCGGGTTCACTCCCTAAACGAGAAATAAAACGCGTGAAAACGAGCAATAAAACAAAGCATAGACGCAGACAACCTATTTTTAACCGACTTCAACAAAAGGAGGAGGTTCTCAATTCGATTGGCATTTTTTTTCTTTAGTTGGCCGATAGTTTAGTCGGGCAGTTAAACCTTTACCTGGTAGTGGCAGAATTGTTGCCACCATATTTTGAACCTTATTGAGAAAACATAAGGTACAAAACGAATGAAAAATATTTTTCTCTATACCAGTTAAAGGGTTAATCAGTATGGGCAATTGGCCATGTATGGAAGTGCGCACATTACACCGAGTCATCGATCTTAGGACAGCTTCTTAGCGGTTCCTTCGATTTCTTTCTGACAGGATCAAAAATAAAGTTAACATTTATAATGAATTATAACGAAGCGATAAATCGAAACAAAAGTAATGAGACAGGAAGACAGGGAGAAAATAAACGAATTGAGCTATTTTAAGATACGATAGCGATGCACAAAAGAATGAGATCCCTTTTAGCATATAACTGGTGTTCACTGTATGCCAAGATTATAGCACTGTGCTTACTTGTAATCAGTCACGATATTTTACATCATATGCTTTTGCATTCAGCACCACCTTCAAATTAAAATATTAATCAAAACATAGTATCAGGTTTTCTTAATTCTTTCTTGTACTGAATGTGTCACTTAGAAACGTATTAGCAATATTCAATCAGTCGCACACCAACCTCTGTACTTACTTGGTTATCTGCAATACAAATTGGAAATCGACCATCTACAATTATTTCTTTAAAAACCTCTCACACTTCATCCATCAACTGAGGCCAGGAAAAGCACATGTATTTATTTTCCACAAAGACCGGTCCTGCGCCGCTCGCATCCAGGTACCTCCCGCGACCTTCACCAGATCGTCGGTCCACCTAATGGGAGGCCTGCCCGCGCTACGTCTTCCGGCTCCGTCACTCAAGAACTTTCCTGCCCCAGCGGCCATCAGCTGTACGTGCTATGTGCCCCAGCGATTCTGCAGGCAGTCATTTTGGTTTTCCTACGTATCTCCTCATTTCTGATTCGATCGCGCAGGGAAACTCCGAGCGTAGCACGCTTCATCGCCCTTTGGGTGACCTTGAGTCTTCTTATGAGGCCCATAGTAAGCGACCACGTCTCAGATCCGTATACCATCACTGGCAACACACACTGGTCAAAGACTTTTGTCTTGAGACACTGCGGTATTTCGGTATTTACTGCTGTAAATAATAAGGTTTCCTACTGTGGAGTCGCGATGACGCAATTCTATGAAACAATATATTAGTGTCAGCATATTCAGGCGTCGCAGCCCGGCCGTTCGGCCAGCTCGCCAGTCATCCCACTCCGGTGTTACAGTATGTACGTTTATTGAAGAACACGCGAAAATAAATACGGTTTACATAAATATGTAGTTATTGGTCAAACACCCCGTATCCACCTACAAATGGTGACCCCGACGTGATTTGAACACGCAACCTTCTGATACCTACCTTATGATGCGCCAGCACGGCGAGCGGCGCGGCGGTGTCGGCGAGCAGCGCGCGGCGGGCGGCGTGGGCGGCGACTTTAACACATTGTGAACCACTTTTCTTTCACGACTATAAAAAGATTTTAGCAATTCCATTCACAAAATCTATTGCGCACATTTAAAATAAAGTTTGTTTACACTTTGACAGCAATAGATTGACATGCAAGGTGACATGTCAATGAAGTTTTCAGTTACTGTTGCCATTAAAAGAAATTAGTACCATTAGTTTTCCGCAACATGGCGAGGGTTTTTATGTTCCTGGTCAGGCACAGGTACACTTATTTGCATGCCGTGGCAGCCTTTAAGTAAGGCAACACCACATAATGTTTGATGTATTAAGGTTATATTAGATAAGGTGTATGCTTTGTTGGCTGTCCTTAAAATAAATAAATAAATAAAGAAATAAAAAGCAGCGCAAGAAACTCAGTGACTATTCAGTCTTTCTTACGACTAATGAGATTATTAATATAAAATGATAGAAAGGCTGAGTTGCACCAACTTATTTTAACCGCGACTATAACAATAACCGGTGTTTTTTGTTTGTTAAAGTAAGATGGTGCAACTCGGCCTTAAACGCGTTTCAGAATCACAAAGATCAAAGTTTTTTATTCTGTACTTAGGAATCATCAATGTAGGAATAGAGCATATAAACTCAAATATATCAAGTCAAGTATCAATCTATTGCTGCGTTTATACTGCGCGGAAATTAGCCAAGTCAAGTCAAAAAACAGAGGAGTGGGGATGAAATTTATTCATTTTTCATCCCCACTCCTCTGTTTTTAACTTGACTCGGCTAATTTCCGCATAGTGTAAAAGCAGCATATCAATACATACTCCTGCTAACTGTAATTTCTTTAGCGAAGTATCCACCTATATCTAGTACCTACTGGCCTACATTCATAAATTGACAATTACTAGGCGTTAAATTACGATTGGTTAAATAATGCAATTAAAGTAAAATAATTAGTAGGCTAAAACGATATGAAAAGAACCCAAGGCAACAGAAAACAATAAAATAAAGGCGATAATTATGTATGCATTTAACTTATTTTATGGCCATTGTCCTTTAACCTTAAAACATTTAATGTACCTCGTGAGTGGGCAGTGTCCTGGTCGGAACCAGGGACATTTCTTTCATTTGATCCACACTTTCCAACGTTGTAGTACACACTTTATATTTAAAATAAGTTACAGTAACAATGATATTCCACCGAAATACGCAACAAAATCCCAAATTAAACGAAAATATCGCGCGAACCGATCAAAGCAATTTGACAACTCCCGAATAACAAAACTACCGTCCGGATTTTATAACCCGCGCACCAGCCTTGTGAGCGGTGAGCCCGCCCGACACGTGAGGTGAAAAAAGTAATAAGTATGCATAGGCCAGTAGAATTAGATTTTAAATCGGAAATAATTCCTACAAAAGTTAAACTATATTATATAGTTATATAAGTTAAACTAACACTACTTACCCTCTTTATTTCATCATTTTAAATTCATTCTGTGCACACGTTTAGAGTTGCGGTTTAGATTAATCTATGGAATATTATCTGTGCCTGAATATGACTGTAACTTGTTTTGTGAGCCTTAAATAAATAAATAAATAAATAAAAAGATTTTATTACTTTAATGGCTTCATTGGTTGCCCATTAACACTCTCCTAGGTTTTCGACTTCGACGGAGTTGTGCTGAAGTGGACAGGAGGGTACAAGGAAGAGGGGCAGCCACAGTAGGTACCTAACACAGAGTCGTTCAGGTGAGTGCCAGGAAGAGGGGCAGCAACCGCAGTTAAGGAACGGCTGGGACAAACAAGGATAGGCGCATCCAGCTCGTAAGCCTTGATAGGGTTACACTGGTTGAGGCGCTCCTTTTCAAGACTTGGAAGCCTGCGGGTAACGAGCCATTGGACATGGAGAGGGTCATTAATTATACACATATTTTCTACTTTGCCGAACATTTTCACGAGAACGGTTTGTTCAAAACATATGAATTTGGTCTTATTTAATGCAGGATTAAATGCCCTTTAACCGTCAGGAAGACCACTTTTCGATAGGGTAAGTGCTTTACTAAGTACAACTCCGTCGAAGTCGAAAACCTAGGAGAGTCTTTATGGGGACCTAATGAAGCCATTTAAGCACTAAAATCTTTAGTAGGAATTATTTCCGATTTAATTCATTTTTGTGTTTAATTCTACTGGCCTAGCATATGAAATGGAAATCCATTTGATTGTTTTCCCTTATAAGATTCTAATAATGAGTTAAGGAGTTGGAGGAGGCCTGTAGCTGCTGTAACTAAAATGATGCGAATTAAAGTCATGTGGCTAAAATTGTGTCATCACGATAAGTAAGAAAATGTTGAGTAATTTTGTTTGCACCTAATCTTTAACCCTAGAATAAAGCACTAACTATTGTATGATTTGACAGCCTATGAAGGTACCTGAGGTTCACAATAAACGTATTTACAAACAATTTGATAGTTTCGTTGCGTTCAGGACTCACCCACTGCGTGTCGATGTTCCCTTCAGGATGCAGCATCTCCATCAGCGACTCCTCCAGCGGCGTCACCTGCAGCGAATACTTCTGCGCCAGGGTACATGCCTGCAAGCATTACAATCCACATCAATGAAGAAGACTGAGGCCTTAAAGATTGCGATGGCGATCAATGCGTTTAAGTCTGATCGCCATCGTGCACGCCAGTTGCACGCGTTGGTTTAGCTCAGTATTTCCCAAAGTGGGCGATAACGCCCCGTTGTGGGCGCTGCAGGCTTAAAGGGGGGCGGCAAGAGACCCAGAAAAAAAATCGGGACGTTGTGTAGAGGCTTGGGAGGCGTCATCTACTAGGAGGACTCTTAGACACCGACTGAGCTCGACTCTTGACTACAAAAATGGGGGGCGCTAAAAATAATTTATTCTCAAAGTGGGCAGTAGACTAAATAAGTTTGGGAACCGCTGGTTTAGCTGAACCTTATGACATATGACAATGGGAAGGACCTGAGGGCTTAGTGTGAGTTTACATCAAACTTCTTCACTAGTGACTGCATAAAAAAGTGACATTAAGGCCGGCAATACACGGACCGCTTGAAGCAGTCAGGGTCGACAGCTTAAGCTGCGACTGCACAGTGAACTGCAGAGTTCTATGGACGCACATACACGAACCGCTCGAGCAGTCCGTGTATGTTTATCATTGGCTAACTGCTCGAGCTGCCCATGTCTGGCGGGCCTAAATGTATGACGAATTGTACAGCGCCCCCTAGCGGAAACTTTCAAGAACAACATTTTTAAACATATTTTTAACGCAGTCGATGTCGAATGCGTTTGATGTATACTCACACTACGCCTACTGTTGGTTCAAATAACGAAACGCAATCAGCTGTTAAAACCACGAAAGAGATAGCAACGCGCGACAGTTTCTTGCAATCATCTGTTTCTGTGTTCGACGTTAACACATCTTTCTTATTTACGATGATCTAATTAGATCGTTTGATTTGATTTGATCAATTAACCAATTGGTCAAGCTGCTGAGTGACAAAGAAGTGTCACTATTTTCTTATCGCGAATGCACTATTATAGAGAAAATTAAATATACCTACCGCTTGATGGTGCAAAAGTAGATAAGGTCATATCAGAGGACTGTGCATTAGAAGATAACAAGGAATTGCGATTTACATGTCCAAAGATCGCCATTCAAAGTGTTAACAAGACTGCACCATTAAAAAGTTTACGTCTGTAATATAAATCAATTGTATTTATTCTATAAGAATGTAAAGAAAACAGTTGTGATGTTGGATGCGTTTGAGAATGCTCGCCGCCATAATGCATAATGCATGCGGCCTACTCGCGCGAATGTCGATCAAGGCCGCCGTCTGTCGCCGCGTCACGCGTTAATTGTTATGATTTCCTTAATTTTCTAATTACTATAAACCCTTTCTCCATTTAAATGAAGGCGAAAGATATTTAACAAATTGAATTTTAAAAGCATTGTACAAAAATTGCTTGAGTTGCTAGCTGGGCGTAGGTAATGAAATATTGAATGATGATGATGTGTTAAAGTATAAATAAAAAAAGAGGGCCGCCAATTCATCTAATAACACCATGTTATAAGTACTGCGTGTTCTTCTCAATTATTTTCTATAGGATGGCAAGTAAACAGCAGTACCTAGACCTAATTAATGATTGATCTTATACAAACAATAATCCAATAGTCAAACTAGCATTGATGATTATTTTGATGGAGCAAAATTAGGCATTCAAATTAGGTAACTGATATTTTTTTAAAGATAGTTTTATCTAAATTATTTACTACAATTTAAGTTCAATTGTTTATATCAATGAGAACCATGAAAACCTACATAAAATAGATAAATAAATGATCACTATGTAAATTTTAAGTAGAATTCGGATATAAAAGTGGAACGATATTCAGTTTTGCATTGCGTTCGCGTGCGAACCCGTCCGTTGTATTGTTGTGTATTCCACGCGTTTGTCTCACCGTTAAGATTTTAGCATATTGATCTAGATAAGTTAGGGTACATAACAAGTCAATTTCATTATCTAAAACAGTATTTCAAGTTTTCCAGCGGCGTCAGAGCTATGTGGGTGATATGGTATTCAAGATCAGCTGGTATATAGCAGGTGGAGGGCATCCCTATAGCTCATTTATATGTCAGATATAAGACCGACGGGTTAAATAATCCAGTGACATATTTGAATTTTAAGTAATCATGAACGTGTTAGGTGTAGTTTTTGTTTTGGTGTCCGTAGGGCATGCGTCTTCCGGATACAAATTTGGTGAGTTAAATTTATCAGTATTTACAAGCCGACAAATGTTATTATATTATGTCAAGGTCAAGTTAAGCCTTTTAAAAGTCTCGTAAGTTTACCAACTGGATCCAGAAGTTCATTCAAATAGTATTTAAAAAAATACATAGGCTCTGGGTTGTTTATAAGAGAGAGAGATTGTGCCGCCTATATTTTTGAAATGATATAACTGCTCACATTAAAAAATATTTTAAACCCTTGAAAAAGTGTCTGACAAGGGGCTGTTTCTTGCGCTGCATCTTTTTCTTTTGACCACTAGCCCACTTATTGGTCCAATCGCAGTTATACTAGGACATGTAAAAGCGCTTTGGAAAACCTATTTGCAGAAAATAAATGACTTAAAACTTTGCCTATGACATTTTTTTATTTCACTTGGTGTTTGATAGGCATAGGTAAAGACGAGTTGGACACGTCGTCCATAATCCTGTCCGAGCGAGTGCCGGTGGAGCCCTCGGGCCCGGGGCTGGCTGACGAGTACCCGCGGCCGCAGGGCTCCGACCGCATCGTGGGCGGCCAGGAGACCACCATCGAGGAGCACCCCTACCAGGTACACTCATCAAAGAAAGAAAGAAACATTTATTGCCATGGACATCACAAAAGACAAAAAAGGTAGAATAAAAAAAAATAAAAAAGCAAATAAGACAGAGGTGACAAAACATACAATGAATGAGCAAGTAAATTAAGCAGTGCCACCCTGTCGCACAGCGATGCCCATCGCAATGGGACCCCACTCAGCATATGCCGTGGCCCCCGGTGAGGGAAGCCACGACGCTGGTTTTCAGTGTGCCCCATGCCGAGTGAGAGTCACGGACACTAACCTATACTGCATAAAATATACATCAACATCATCAATTCAGCCATAGGACGTCCACTGCTGAACATAGGCCTATGGTCCTAGGCAGTGGCGGATTTACAGTTTTGCCGCCCGTAGGCTAGGGTGGGGTTGGATCTTTATTTAACTTTTATCTTTTGAAATCGAGTAAGCGTCATCTGAAATCTGCCGCCCCTAGGCCGCGGCCTATACGGCCTATTGACAGATCCAGGACTGGTCCTAGGTGCATATCTTTTTCATAAAGGTTACTAAACCTTTGTTTGTCACCTGTCATCCGCTTTGCAACGGAGGGAAGTCGAACCTTAACTTCCAACTCCTACTATGTTCAGATTAATTTCGTTGCGGGTCCAATGACAGTTTAACTTTCCCCCGGGACAAACTTAGTACCTATGTCGAGTACTTTTTTGTGGATTTTCAAACGTCAAAGTAAAATTTATCTCAGAGGGAAAAAAGTGAAATCCTGGATAGACCTAACAATTAAAATTTTGAGTAATTTCCTTTCCGTTTTGAGTCATCTTTATACTAATTATGTTATTATTTTCTGTTCTGTTCTGTGCCGAAGGTTTCGTTCATCGTGAACAACTCGTACTTCTGCGGCGGGTTCATCGTCAGCGAGGACTACATACTCACGGCCGGCCACTGCGCGCAGAAGTAAGCAGCCTTTCTTTTTTATAATTAATGGTATGATTACAATACTAAGGAATAAAAATAGAAAAAAAGTATGTGCACAGTGAGCTGCAATAATATTGTAGCGTCATCAAAATAGGTTCAGTATTTTTTTACTTAATTGGTTTATAATATTAATAGGATTCTTTTTAGCTACCCGTCTACTAATAAATGCTGTTTACACGTGTTTAACTCAACCTACAAGTGATCTACCAGTATTTCAATAGAGATGTTTATTACAAGTGTTATGTTTATTTTGTCTTGAGATTATCACTTTTGAGTACGTTCGAGTATTTATTTATCTGTCTATTCCAAATACAAAGGACGTTGTTGAAGAGTTGAGCACCCTCCCTCAGAAGTATTTCTAGGAAACATTTGTATGTTTGTATTGATTAGTAGGTTTCGAAACTACTGGACCGATCTGAAAAAATATTTTACCACTGGAATCCAATTTTTATATTAGCAATTTTTTTAAGTTAGTTTATTAAATACCTATACAGGATGTCCCAAAAAATAGTGTCAAGCTGAAGCCCAGAGGTAGAGCATCAGTAGTAGGGATATCCAAATCACCCCGATGTATGCTCCGCGATTTTTGATAGTTTTTGAGTTATGGTAACCATAACTCATAATTGTTGTTGTGCTGTTACAAAAATTTGATAATTACCTTTTTAAAAAAATAAAACCGACTTCAAATGCGTGAACACAAAAAAAACTAAAAATTAAAAATATTGCGTATAAAAAAGTTCATCCCCAATTTTCCACCCTTAGGGGTGAAATATTTTCTTCAAATTCGCATGAAACCACCTTTTTGATAATACCTATTCAACAAAAAAATAATCGTTCAAATTGATTTATAATTGGTGGAGATATTGCGTATAAAAAAGTTCATCCCCAATTTTCCACCCTTGGGGGTTGTTTTTTCTATTATTAAATTTAAATGGGACCACCCTTGAGGTATTACCTCAGATCATGG